CAGCCTAATTTCCCAGCTCAAGTTCTTTATGGCAGCAAAACTTCTCTGCACCCAAAAGAGACCTAGTGGTTTATAAGTGGGTACCAAAGGATATGGCTTCACTCAGCTCTAACTGCAAGCTGGAGTCCTTGATCCAGAAGCAAGGCTTAAGGTTTTATGGTGTTGCAGTCAGTGAGGAGAATAATCATTGCCACACATTGATCTATCTGTGTTCTGTTTGGGGTCACCAGTGGCCTCTTATACGAATACCTGCCTTTGTTATAAGACCAGGCCACAGGCAATTGAAAACAAAACCAAAAAATCTCACAAAACTCTACCTCCTGTTTGTCTTGCTTTATGATATTAATGTTCTGCGATGTGATATATATAAAATATGGCCTTATTATTAATATTATATTTTTTTTTGGGAAATGTTGTTGGTCCTTCTGGAACCATTTCCCTGTGAGAAGATCTAGTTTATTCTTTAAAAAATTAATTAATTTTAGGGGTGCTAGGAATTGAACCCAGGGCTTGTACATCCTAGACAAATAGTCTACCATTGAGCTATATCCTAAACTCGAGGTTATGCTTTTGGCTTTCAGTATCCCTGTGTGATGAAGATCCTGGGGAACAGATGACCAAAGCTGATGAGGAGAACAAATTTACAGAATCCCAGGAAGCATGACAAGAAGTCTCTGGGACACACAGGATGTACTGAGAAGGGAAGGACTGAGTTTAGATGCTGCTCTCTTTGAGTGATTAAATGCTCATTCAATGCATACTCAGCTCTAACTGCCCATCTCAGAGGAACCTAGTGTTTCTTAGGATTCACAGAAAATGACTTCTTATGGCTGATAGGACTCCACATTTGGAAATAGCTTGTTTGTAATATAGTCACCTTTCAACTGGAAGAACGTTGTCACCCCTGAGGCAACTCCACAGAAGGCCTGTCACTTCATGTTGATCCAAGTTTCAGAGAACTTGTTTTGAGGAATGGGGTTAAAAGTTTAGTTTTACTATACAAGGAAAGCATGCCCAACTGAATACTAGGCTGAAGTGTGGTGAATGAAATGAACACAGCCTAGAGGCTTAGAAAGATGAAACACAGCACAAGATCCATAATCGCATAGTAAAGGGAATCTGTGGGGAAAGCCTGCTTGGGGGATGGGGTTGGTGAGAGGAGGCATATGAAATCAGACACCACTCTTATGTTCAAACAATGCTGGTGTCAACAGAGTTGCAGAACAGGTATGATGATAGCATTTGAATGAACAAAGGAATGGGATGGGGGGGTGTAGTGGGACAGGAAAGGGGGTCGATGGGGATTCAAGAACAGTCTTGTTAGTTGGAGGGTCCTCTTCCTGTTCTGCAAATTCTTTTGTTTTGTGTCCTTATCAATCCCACACCTTGCCTAAGTGAGAATGACAGACAAGTCATTCTTAATGACTTCCTAGCTTTTGAAACTATTTTAGTGACAGAGGGGAAAAAGCCACACTCAGGTTGTGAGAACACAACTTTCTGCTGGCATGGTACAGTTTCCACTCTTAAATGACCATCTTTATTATGAGCAGAGAAATGAATTTGTCCCTATATGTGACTTGTGAACTATTTCAGAGAAATGATGCCCTTGCAGCCCTTCTTAAGGACAGGAGAACAAGCAATGGGCTGGGGCTCTGGACCGAGTTCCTTGCTGTGTCAGCAGCAGCAAGGCTGGTATCTTCCTCCCCCAGGGACAGGCACATCCTCTGCTAGGCACACCCACTCACTATTAGTGCTGAGAACAATCGGTCTCTGTGTCAAAGCCTAACCACGCCCTGTGGGGGACAATGCAGGACTACACAGCTCTACCTCTCCCAAGCCACTGCTCACTTCCTTTGTATGGATTTTCTCCTGTGTAGAAGAGGCACACACTAAGCATAGCCTTTTATTTTATTTTTTACTTATTTTAATTTTTTGTTTAAAACAACACATTTTAAAGGATGGCTAATGACCAGTCATCCACTTTCAATCTATCGTCACTGGGTTTTCCCAATCTCTGAAGGCTGTGTGACATGTAGGAATTTGGTACAAAATCCAGAGAAAACAGGTTATAAAGGAAGGGGCTATTTTGCAGTCACTCACTGTGCACTCCCTTGGGCAACCACATCTGTCCTTTTTTTCCTCTGAAGACACAGCTCTCCATTATGCTTAGAAGTTTTTTAAGTACCTTTTAGTTCTGTCATCACAATGTGTGTGGATCATATTAAAGCAATGATACCAGGCCACATATTTAATGTAAATTTAGAAAAGGAGATTGTTACGTACTAACAATGATACTAGCAGTCTTATTTCTCTCTCTTTCTCTCTCTCTCTCTCTCTCTCTCTCTCTCTATATATATATACATACTTTTTTTTTAGAAGAAGCATTTCATTACCGCTTTAACATACTCAATAACAGTTTCCAGAGCAAAGATACATCTCTTTCAAAAGTGGCTATAAAATTTTTAGATTTGCTGTTGAATTAATAAAGTTATACAATATTGAACTCAGTATAAACCCTGTACGAAATAACACTGAATGAGTTTTTAACCTTTAAAAAAGATCTA